GGAGGGAGGGGGGAGGGGGGCATGTGTATATCTGGGTGGTCTGGATAGTAGAGTCCACATGACCGCGAGGGTGGGGGTCGACTGAGCTGGAATATCATTTCGGGAAGCGTGGCTTGTGCATTCTGCACAACACAGGCGAGCGAGGCAGGGGCTACATCCGGAGACATGACAGTCGAAATGCACGGGGTGCGCGGGGAGGATGGGAGGCGGAAGGAGGGAGTGGGATGGGGGGGAGGGGCTACAACAAGGGGACCTTTGGCGGGAAAAAGGCACATAGGGATTCGAGCTGGGGAAGTGGGAGTGGGATTAAGGATTTTGTAGCGGAGGTGTAGTGGGGGAGCACACAGAGCTTCGCGATGGGACTTATGAGGGACGGGATGGGGCGGAAGGGACGGGAAGGGCAGCAGCAGAATCGCGTGTAAACAGTAGGGGCGCATTATGGGCGCGCACTCCCCCCGACAGCAGACACACTGCGCCTTCAGACCTCCCTCCTCCCTCCCCCCTCCCCGACCTCCCCCGCATTTCGGCGAATCCGGTACGTACCGCCCCTGCGCCGCGGCGCTGTTCAATGGAGCCGCCCCTCCCACGCGCCGGGTTCGAGACTTGTGTGCCACTGCCTGCGCGAGGGGTTGCTCCTCAGAACCACCCTGCTTGTCGAGCAGTCGAGCAGTGAGGGTGGTAAAACAACATGCTCGGTATTTACTCATGCACTGTATTTATTTATTTTTGTTTGTATATTATGTGTGTATTTGTTTGTTTATTTATTTATTTACCGTGCACGATATGGCGGGGGTGGCGGCGGCAGCGCGCGCAACAGCGCACCGTCATTACTTCAGTCCATCGGTCCGTGAGACAGCTCGGCGGGGGGAAGGGACCGGCCATAAATACCTCTGTCTCTGTCTCTCTGTCTCTCTCTGTCTCTCCCTCTCTCACACCACGTGCGAAAGCAAGCAGGAGAGAGAAGGGGGCAGGGGGGGGGAGAAGCTTTATTTTGCATTTTCGGACGACTCGCGAAACGGCGTATACATATGTCGTGGCCCGAGTCGGAAGATATTGAAAAGGAATAAGGGGGCGGGGTAGCTGGGTACAATCCTTTACCGCCCGCAACGCTGCTTTGACGCGCGGCGGCCTCCTGCTCCTCCCGCTCCTCCTGCTTGCCCTGCTGCCCCTTCTTCTCCTGCTGGCCCTGCTCCCGCCTGCTCCTCCCCCGCAAGTCGCGTGGCTCAGCCCGACATCAGCAGTGCGCCTATGATAACTCGAATGAAACTCCGCTCTCCGTGGATCAACAACTTCTCGCGGTGGTGTGGGGGGAAGAGAGAGAGA